TCACATTTGCTTAGTCTTTGTTAACTTGACGATCGGCTCATCTGTACACAATACTTCTGCAAGGAATTAATGTCCCAGACTTCCTGAACGATGAAAGTCTGTGAAAGCGCGATGGCCTCCATAGACCTTGTAGTTGAGACGATTTCGCTGACATCACCTGCTGCCTTCTGTGGAAGACGGAGGTGACATTGAAACGGACCGAACCATTTGAGGATGTCAATGAGATACACATGTCTGCTTGCGGCAGTGTGTGTTTGTGTGTGTGTGTGTGTGTGTGTTGCTGTCTGCATGCATGAATGTCTGGAGAGCGATTGTATGGGCAGAGAGATGAGTCTGCTCGAGGCAGTTGGCAGTGACAGGAAAGTCTTGCAGATGGCACAAGTTGCATACATTTGCCCCTTGAGGACACTTTGTCTGGCTGATTTATTCTCGGGTGTCCTCTCTGCAGCCCAGGCAGTGCTGTCAAGTGAGCAAAAGGCCTTGAGGAAGAGAGGAATAGACGGACGGAGATGGGCATGGGAACACAGAGACAGGGTGCCGACCAGCTCCCCAGACACTGGATCTTTGACAGGCTGACAAAGAGAGGAGTATTTGTGATCGCGGGATACCTTCGTGTCCGTTGGTGAGGCGACCGGACGACATCGGATAGCCCGAGGAGGAGTGAGTGGGAGACGTACTGCCGTCGCTTGTATCCCAAAAGGGAATTGAGGTAGCCGACTCATGAGTCATGCTGATTAACTTTTGGCCTTGTTTGGCAGAAAAACGGACAGAAGAATGCCACCAACAAATGACCGGCTTGCCAGCGAGTCGGAAGGAAGAGCTGCCAACTGCCGGTTGGGCTGGACAGATCGTCGTCTGACGCGAGTTGACGCGAGTTGACACGAGTTGACGCAGTCCCACGACACTCCGGCAAACTTGGAGCTGACCGGTTCTGAGGACAGGAGCCAGCGCAATTTGGCATTCAGGCGGTATATACCAGATGAGCAGAATCCCTTCATCCGGACGATTAACGACAGCTACATATTTTCTCCATTTTTATGTAAGATGTATTCTCCCTAGTTCGTTTAATAAGATAAGAGAAGGGGTAGTTGAATTTTCCCATAATCATATGAGTAGAACTTGCGTTTCCCCTGGATTTCACAGAGCCTGGCTC